GAGAGTTCAAGAAGCCAAGAGGTTCTTGAGATGCTTCTGGAGCACGATCTTCTTGAGGTGGGATTGTCATGAAAGTTCACTGCAACAACAAGAGAGGGCCCCCGAAGTGGATTCTGAGTTGAAGCAGCCCCATGTTGGCGTTCAGTGTTCATGTTGATGGTTCTCGGAAAGAGTCTGGATCCATCGTTTGGGTAGTTTTGGGCTTCTCGAGCATTGTGTGTTTGTGAGGTTAAGGTGCATGTAGGGGTATGTTTCCCAAGCCCCGCAGCCTAAATTAGATCCTAAACTCCTAAACTACCCCAAACCCTAGGCCCAAGAGCCTGTATAGACCCTAAACTTTAAACCCTAAACAGCCTAACCCTAAACCCTAAGCCCTAATCCCTAAACCCTAAACCCTATAGCCCCCAAGCCGAACCCACATCCTTTTCTGTGATTGGATTGGCTTCCGTACTTGATGCTTTCGAGGTCGAGGCTTCCGGCTCGGGGCTTTCGTTTAGGTTTTAGGATTTAGGATTTAGGGTTTAGGGTTTAGGGTCTAGGGTCTAGGGTTCAGGGTTTAGGGTTTAGGGTCTAGGGTCTAGGGTTTTTGGGGTCCACGGTCGAGGGTTTAGGGTTTGGGGTCCTTCTCGTTCTTCTGCGGGGATTAAGACCAACCTCATGGAAGGAATGTCTTTGGGAGTGTTTGCTGCTGTCGTTTGTGTACCTTGCTGTGAACAAAAGCTGTATCTTTGCGCAGAATAACCCAGGCTTGTTCCACGTAGCATCTGACGATAAATCTCGCTTCTGGCATTCACATGCTCCTGTGATCTTGCCATCAAGCCTGCTGAAGGCAGGATCTAGAATCTAGAATAAAGATGGGTTTTGGGTAGGCAGCGTGGTCTCCTACGCAAGGCACAGAAACAGGCTGGTTGTCTCAGGATTGCGGATAGCAGCCAGAAGATTTTCTGCCGTCCCAGGTTGAAGTACTCATACTCGAAGCAAACACTTCGATATGTAGGAACTTCTCTGTCTCACCAGATTCGGTGCCGAACCATACACACGTAAGCCCGAGGTGATGATCACATCCATCAAAGGGAGCATCGCAGCCCTGTTTTGGAGCGTGATTCTGCACCCTGGCTGCCATGAGGAGTCCCAGGAGCCTGTTCTTGTTCGGTAAACAGTTTAGGGTTCAGGCTTGAGAGGTCCAAGGGCTCCAAGATTGCTTGAGGTTATGGGTGATTCGAAGCAGCCTGAAAGCCTGAAGCCTCAAGGCCATGGCCCCTACAAGCCCGAAAGGCCCTAAACCTCAAGATTCCTAAGGGTCCTTGAGTCCTGCAAGCCGTCGCAGAGTGGCGTAGCCCCAAGCCAGGAGGTTGTGGAACACGGCCCAGAGAAGTTTCATGCCACCGCCGCAACAGGAAGCTCTGCCTATGAACCCTAGAGCCCATCAGTCCTAAGCCCCGATTCTTGAAGCTATAAACTCTAAACCCTAAACCAGAAGCCACCAGCTAGAAACCCTACGCACTAAACCCTGAATCCTTTAACCCTAGGCCCTAAGCCATAAGCCTTTTAAACCGGAAGCCCTAAGAGCCCAACGCATGCCGAAGGCTGGTCCTGGTCCTGATGATGGTCTCCCTCTTCCTGGTGCACCTCGGCACACCTCCTCGGTTTAGGAAAAGGGTTTTTAGGGTTTAGGGTTTTTAGGGTTTAGGTTTTCGGGTTTGGGATGCCAAACCTCCTCGGCTTAGGGTTTAGGGCGAAGGGTCCTGACCACACGACTGACAAAGGGGCCTGAAGAATCAGAGTCGTTTTTTTTGTAAGTGTGTTTTTTGTTGCTTTGCGGAGGGGTGATATATTCTAGTCTATCAGACAGAAGGGGAGACTGTTACTAGTTAGCTTTATTCCGGCCTCGTTATTAATCGAGGATCCTCAAGACTTGTGACCGTTGTCCGTTCGGACGAGCCCAGAGCTCTAGCATTACACGCGCCGCAGCACTTGTCCAATCATGAGCGGCTGGATGGATTGTGGAAGAAATGCCGGCAGCATAGCCTTAGACAGCTTAAGTTTCGATTTTTCTTTGTCAGGCTGTGTACCTAGTCGAACGACGCCGCTACCGGCTTGGTCCGCCCACGTGTCAAGGAGTGGTGCTGGGGACTGATCCTCCAATCGGCCTTATAGTAGGTGACTTCTAGCCTAAATCATGAACCATGCGAAGTAGGCGACCCTACACCATAAACCCCTAAACCCTGTACACTAAATCCCCATAAGGAATCGCACGCACTAAATCCCAAAGCTTCACCCTTGCACCCGCATAAAAGCCTCCGGGAAGACCAGTTTAGGGTTTAAGGCTTGGAGTTTAAACTGGGTTTACGGTGCTTGATCCGGCTAAGGACGATGCTGGAAAACTATATCAAGAGTGAGGAACAGGCGCGAGTACATGGGCTTGAGTTGGCAGATGGTTTAGTTGGGGATCGCAGGATCTGCAAATATCAGAAGCGCATTTTCAGGTTCTTGCTCGCGAACTCATCATTCAAAATCTTTGCAAAGGTGGTGGTGCATGTCTCCTCTCTCCTCATACCAAGACCCGAAGCCCTGCTTCCTCCCTTATCGCTGTCTGGGCATCGCGATCATCGTGGCACCAGGAGCTCGAACGACGCATGGACGTCTATCTCTACTTTGGCAGCCTGGTTCGAGTTTCCGAGCGGTTGAGGAGCGTGTGCACGAGTTGAGCTGCAAGAAATATTCCGGACCTTGAGCGCATGGGGAAGCTTGCAGTTGCCTAAAACCCTTACCCTAACCGTAACCCTAAACACTGAAACGGACAGTCGGCCTGGACACTGAGAGATGAGTTGGAGACACGAGCTTAAAAGCCCTAAACCCTTGAACAAGTCTTGAACCCTACAAATAGGCCCCTCAGTAGTTCCTTTTTATGGTTTATATTTAGAATCCTATAAGGGAATCCCAAAAAGGAACTACTTAAACTTAGGAGCCTATGGGTATACCCCACGACCCTGACAATTCAGCCCTGAACCCTAGCGTCTACACACCAAGCCCCATCTCAGGCACTTTCTCCCGCGCAATGCTGTCTCTCTTCGAGATGACGCTGGCCAACTGGGCGCCGCCATCACGGGCGCTGACGGAGCAGCCTGGCTGTTTGGGGTGTAGGAATTTGATGAGCTCGACGCGTCGTCTAAATAAGATGAGGGTCGGCATACTTACCAACACTATTCCGCAGGGTTCCTTAGTAAAGCTGGGTTGTAATATAGCTCCGAACCCCATTTCAATCATCGAAGCCTTTGTGTTTCCATGGGGAGCTGTTTCTAGCGGGCTTGGCAGTTTCTATCGATGATTTGCTAAACCTCCCTGCAACCTGAAGCCTACCCCCGAAACCCGAAACCCTAAGCCCTCAACCCCAAAACCCCTAAACTCCAAACTCTCAACCATAGACTGCCTAAAAACCCTCAACCACAAAAGCCTGAACGGGATATGACGAAGTAAGGCTGGGGTTTAGGGTTAAGCGTCCCTCGTTTATGGTTTTCGTTTGGTACGGGATTTGATGACAAGATCGGGGTCAGGGTTTAAAGGCACTTCGGGGGCTTATATACCAGGATATCAGGTTCCTACAGTGTGTGTAGGGGTTTGAAACGTGGTCGGTGGGGTTTTGCGATGGAGAGTAGCCACAGACCTTTTCCAGCTTCCTTGGCCTCAGGAATGTCAGCGAGTTCTGGATGTTCTTCGTTCTAAGCTTTCAGCTGCTCGTCGGCTTCTCCGTCGGGGCACCCAGCGTATAGGGGCTCGAGGTTGATATACAACTCATAAACAAAAAAATATTACGATGTACCGCCCAGCTAAGACCTGTTCAAATTATGTAGGACCCGGTATGAGACCTTATAACGCCGGATGAAATCTCGAAACCTCCCAAGCTCCCAGTTTGATTGCAATTCCATAGTTTGTGACTTGTGGTGTTTGTGCTTCTTTTCTTTACTTCTTGTCGGTATGCGGCAAAACACTGCCAACCTTGGGGTCAAACCCTAAATGCTGAAACATCAGAACCTTGAATGTCAGCATCGGGTTTTGGGTTCAGGGAGGACCCTTCAACCCTAGACGACGGGATGATCAGGCAGAGATGGCGCTACCCAACAGAAGGCTGACGTCGAAGTTTTTGCCGAAGCTTGTTGAACCTGAACGGAAGAAACGCACCAAGTAGCAGCAGCTGCAGTGGATGTAGTGAAGCGAATCAGCTCAAGGATTGGGTTTGGCTTTCTTCCCGGTGTAAGGTTAAACCACCTTAGAGTGACAAAGCTTACCAAAGCATGCAGCCATTTCAAAGGGCAGCCTTCAATGAAGATAGCTCCGCCGACGAGAGCACCAACCGAAGACTTGCCCCCTTTCATGGGTTAACATAGAGGGCTGAATGATTTGCGATCATATCCTCTTATCCTGCCGATGTGTGATAATTCGATATTAATGTACCCGATGCCAACTATCAAACAGGATTAAGCGCCATGTTGTTAAGACAATCTGAGCTTGTCTGCTTCACGGACGTTCGCCTCTGGTGCTTTTGGCTCCTTTCTGTTTCTTGGTATTTCGGTACCTCAGGCTATTGCCGTCTGCATCCTCCGCGCTTCTTTCAGTTCCAGGGGGGTTTAGGGGTTCAGGGTTTACGGGTTTAGGGTTTACGGGTTTAGGGACCCTAAAAATATCCCAAAACTGGCACACCCCGACCCAAAACTCTCGGCCCCAGACCCTGAACTCTTGGTGACGCCCGGGTCAACCTAGGAGGCCCCCAAATGGTAGCAACCCGCAGAGTATAACCCTTGTTTGGCACCCATTAAAGAAACGTCAGGATATTTAGGGGTCCCTTTTTTGACAAGTTTTGGCAGCTTGCAGCCTCAGGGAAGGTCCCAAGTGGACTGCACGGAGAAACTGCAGTAGCTTAGGCATGTCGTATAGATTCCATCCTGTGACCGAACTCCTTCTGGGTGGGGTGGTCGGGTGTAGGGAGCCGAAATGCTGATGAGGTGATGAAAGTCATCATGGGTGTGTTCCTGCAAGTGACCTTCTATGTCGCCTCCAACGACGACGTGATCATGATGAGCCAGAAAGAAAGGCGAGCATTACATGACTGTAGCCCATTCTGTTAGGAATTCTTCCGTGGAGCTGGCAGGTTTAGTGTAGTAGTCCCAGGTTTCGGGTGGCCCCAAAGAGAGGTCTGATCGAGGTCCAAAGACTTGTGGCCAGACCAACAAAACCGACAACTCCCGGACCATTAAACCTTAAACCGCCTTAAACCCCAAACCCTAAAGACCCCTAAACCCTAGACCCCAAACCCTAAAGACCCCTAAACCCTAAACCCCAAACCCTAAACCCTTATGAAAGCAGACCGAAGATTAGCTATAGAGATTTCCGGAGTCGCCGACTGCACGTCGGGAGGCAACACTGTGAAGACTGCACAGCCTCCCAACCCGAGCTCCAAAGCCCAATCCTGCTCTCTTGTCAAGGATCTTACATCTTAGGGTTTAGGGGTTTAGGGGGTTAGGGGTGTAGGGTTTAGGGTTTAGGCGGCCATAGCAGGGATCTATAGTAGGTTGCCTTCTTATTTATTGTGGTAACTTACACTAAGCTCCCTCACAAGAACACAGAAAAGGGAATCCTCCACCTTACAACTTCGATGCCCCATGGCCCATGCTGGTCAGGGCGCTCAAAGTCCACACACAGAAGATGACGGAGCTGTTTGTGGCCGCGGACGAAAACGGCAACGGAAGACTCGATCAGGCCAGTTCCACCTTGTCGCATGGAGTTGGTCATGGCTTTGAGTGTACTATCGGGGCCAAAATAACTGCCAATATTATTTTTGGGGCTCCTTGCTATATTAAACACGAACTACTACAATAATTATACCAAAAAAAGCCCTGATCTCAATGTTTCAGGCTCCTAGACATTATATCAAGTTCAAAGCTCGGAGAAGTGATGCAACGAGAGCCGGAGCTGAAGCTGCTCCGTAGATGGTTTATAGAGTTTAGGGTTTAGGGTTTATAGGTTTAGGGTTTAGGGTTTAGGGTTTTAGGGTCCCAAAACAGGGATCAAAAGGTATTTATGGGGCTTAGGGTTTGGGGTTCAGGGTTAGTGGGCAGCTCTCCAAATTAAGGTCCCTTCTTTTGGCCCCAAACTAGTACGGCACACTTGTAAAGAGGTCCCTGAGAGGGAGACCCCAATTTCGAGAGCTGCCCAGGTGGGGCTTTAGGCTTTCAAGGCCTCTAAACCCGAAGCAAATGAAGCTTCGGCTTGGAGCCTGGAGCTAAGACCAGGTGAAGTGGCAGGCAGTTATACCGCAATCGCGAGAGCAGCTAGCTGCGGTTATCTTCAAGGGTTGCTTTTTCCTCGACAGTACCTATCTCGGATGTCCTAGGATGAGTTCGAGACATTGTTACATTATGCTATGCCCATTGAGGCCATCTACAGTAATGCCCCAGGATGAGTTCGAGACCATCATCAGCGATCCCACCTGCATTGCCTGGCTATCGGCCATGGGTTTCGAGACTTCGATGCTCTCGGGGCAGGCCCGAGGTTTGGAGGGGTTGATAGGGTTTGCGTTCTTTAAGGTTTAAGGTTTAGGGTGTGGGGGTTTTAGGGTTTCGGGCTTGGGGCTAAGTTTATTTAGGGGTCGAAGCGGCAAAGGCACAGCACCGTTCAATGCACTAGTATCTGCGAAACATGGGGATCTCGCATCCCGTGATTTGCAGAATCTCCCAATGTCTGTGCACGATATCTATCAGCAAGAAGCCCAAGTCGGATTACGACAGGCATTTAGCAAGATCCCCGGACCTGCGCATCAACAGGTTCACGATTTCAGGTTTAGAAGTGTGGTATCCGGCTTCGGGCTATGTCGACAAATATCGGCTCTCTGTCAGGATCATGTCTTGTCTGCACAAGTGGAACCCTGTCCGCAATGCCCCAGTCGGGGCGTTGACATCGACAGCCTTTTTTTGTTGAGTTGTGCTTCTCGATGCTCTTGTCAAGGCGTTGTTGATGCCACGCATGTCAAGCGCCTAGTATGGGAAGCTTGATGTCTGCGTGTGGCTCTACATCTATCTATCTTCACAGTGATCTTTAATTCATTATCGTGAACGTTGTGATCCTCCTCATCACGTTAATCACCATCATCAGCATCGCCGTTCCCTCGCATCACCAGCACCAACCTGACGGTTCTGCGGTTATACCTGCGCAGCCAGATTTTTGGTCTTCTGGACTCTGCTCTGCATCAGGCACGGAAATGAGCCACGTTGCGCATCTTGCTGCGTTTCGGCTCGGCGTCCGTTGCGTGCTGGCATGCACAGCCGGAAGCCTTAAGCCATAAGCCGTAGACCAAGAAGCCGTTTCGCCGCCAACTCTGACCCTCTATTCCTCCGAAGAACAATCCGAGAGGACATGTACTGCATGAACGATGCAAAACACATGAACTTCGCAAGGCATCATCCCTAAGGCCTAAACCCAAAGCTAACTCTCAAAACTCAAGATGGGCAGTTTTCTAAACTAGGGTCCCTCGTAGGACCCGCTTATAGGTAAGGGTGCCGTACTAGATTGGGAAACCCAAAAGGGGACCCTAGTTTAGAGAACTACCCATATGGGCCACCGGGAAGTGGATGGACATCGGGTGGCCTACGAGACCTGGGGCTCTGAGGGGTCGCCGGTCGCCGTGATCTTCCTCCATGGGCCCCTCACCCTGTGGGTTTATAGGGCGCAGGGGGGTTGAGGGGGGTTGAGGGCTTTAGGGGTTTTAGGGGTTCTAGGGTTTACAGGGTTAGGGGGTTCGGGGTTTTCGAGTTTAGGGCTGTTCAGGATGCCTTTCTGCGAGGGTCTTTTCGTGAGAGCAGTCAAGGTTCGGTGGAGACAGGCATCAATTCGCATTCCAGGCGCAAGCAGCGGCCGATGCCGGTGCCGCGTGTCTCGCTGTGGATTTGACCAGCTTGACGGAGGGAGGATCCTTCCGAGAGATCTGGGTCGAGAGATCCGTCCGCTCGGCTCAGCGCCGCAATGTCCTGCAGGTGGTGGACCATTTTAGGGTTTAGGGTTTAAGATTTAGGGTTTAGGGTTTAATGTCCTGCAGGTCGTGGACCATGCCTCTTGGTTTGCTCGCGACAGGCCGTTCGTCCTCGTTGGGCACAGCGCCGGCGGCGGCATAGCACTCGAGAGCGCGGTGGAGCTGCAGCAATCTGGAAAGGCTCCCCTGGCAGTTCTCCTGCTGGATGGTGTGGGATGGCCAGCAACCGATGAGGTGGCCGGCAAGTTCAATGCAGTGGACACCCGCCTGTTGCTTACATGCAGAAGTTTTTGGACTAAGCTTCCTGCATCCGGGGTGGGGTGGAGTTGCAAGGTCCAGCGTGGAGGTTATGGCGGAATCTTAAGACGAAGACGCCTCTTCCGAATTGAAGTGAGAAAGCTCCAGGATTGATCAACTGAGGCTTTCTATCAGAGCAGAGCCCTCTGCTTGGAACAAGAACGGATGCATCGAGCAGACGATACGCTGCATCCCCAGTGCTGGGGTGCCCAGCGGCCACCTGCTGGATGTGAAGGTCCATGGAGCCTAAGCCGTGAGCCTTAAACCTCCTAAACCCTTAATCTTACACCCTAAACTCTAAACCCGAAACCCGAAGCCCGAAGCCCTAAACCTGAAGGTTCATGGAGCTAAGCATGGAGATCCCATCGCACTGAAGGGCTGGATGTATGGCCTCTTGGGATTGATAGGCACCTCGGAGGCCCGAGATGTACTGGACCGCTTGGTCAAGGCCTTCCTATGCCAACTGCTCCAGGGCACCTCGGAGGCCCCTGACTCGGCCCCTGGAGCCGCTTCTTTGAGCTCTTTTCTGGCAGAGCTGCAGCAGTTGCAAGAGCTTGGGAGCTGCTCCGTAGTCGATCTGGCGCCTACAGTTTAGGGTTTAGGGTTTAGGGTCAGAGCCTGGCTAGACAGAGCGGTGTGGTTGCCCACGAACGAAAGAAGATCTCGCGAGGCGGCCTGCAAGAGAAAAGGGCATTCAAGAGGCCGTTTGCGTGATCAGAGTTGAAGCCGAAATTCGAGGTTTATGGTTCAGGGTGCTTGGAAACACGTGTCATGGAGGCTCCTTGCCAGGGGCCTCTGCTAATGATGCAACATGAATGGAGTCCCCAGTTGGGTGCGAAGCAGCGCCGATCCATCTCCCCTAAATCCTAAACCCTAAACCCTAAACCGACGCTGGTTTTGTGGTAGTGGCATTGATTCGGCCCTGGGAGTTGTGTAGCGCTCTGAGTGCCTGCGGTGGCAGGACCTTTACCGGCTTCTTTGTGCAGAAGGCACCAATGACCTGTCGGCAGAGGCCTCACCGGAACTGCATGTCGGAACGTAGGCTTCGGTGACTTGCTGTCGCAGGCTCTACTTAGCTACACGGGTAGTTGTCTAAATTAGGGTCCCTTCGCGAGGGTCCTTTTTATCAGAGGTGCCGTACATTTTGGGGGGACCCAAAAAGGGGCTCTAATTTAGAGACCGTACGTTTTTGGGGACCCAAAAGGGACCCTAATTTAGAGAACTACCCATATCATATTATATTCAAGCATTATGAGGGTTTTTTCGGGGGCAGAATTGTGGGAAGACGGCCTGGGCCAGACCGTTTGCGTGAAATTCGGTGAAATCCCCAGAGCGGCTCACCAGCTCCTGGGACTCTAAGAAGCTCGAGGTTTAGGGTTTGGGGTTTAGGGTTTGGGGTTTAGGGTTTAGGGCTTAGGGAGCCTCCCCTACAACCCGGAGAAAAGCAGCCGAGTTCGCCTTTGCAGGAGCTTTGCAAAGGCGTTGCCGAGCTCAAGGGACCTGCCCCATGTCTGAGAAAAGAGGACGGGATTTAGGATTTAGGTTTGTGTCATTAGGTTTGTGTCCAGAGGGGCTGCGCCAATTCTTTTAACGTGAAGCACTTGGACTTCCGACACTCGGTTGTGCCAAGGGCTCCAAATTTTCAGCCACAGCCTCAACAAAGCCGTAAGCACAGTGACTTCAGCCCCCGAATCCTTAGGGGTACTTGGAATTCCTGGGGTACCAAGTTTAGTAAGGTCTTAAATCCTGGATGCGAAGCCCACCTAAACCTTAAACCCTAAGCCCTAAGCCCTGCTGCCTCAAAAACACACTGCCGCTCCGAGGCGACCAGCTTGAACCTGGCGCTTCTTCAGAAAGACCAAGTTGCCACCAAGGACCGGATTTAGGGCCTCAAAGGTTTCGGGTTAAGGGTTTTGGGGGGCCTCAGTCGACTTTCGAAGGCCCTTATGTGTTAGAACCGGCCCTTGAGGGACCTCTTTCTACTTGTTCAGGCCCCATACATACACATATACATATACANNATATATATATATATTTTTTTTTTCTAGACCTTTTACAGTAGCACTGATTCAAATTTCTTCGCCCTTCGAAGTAGCCCCTGAAATGGGAGACTTACTCTAAGTCTTGAGGCCCCTATTTTCGGGTCTTTGAAAACTGGAGGGTTTGGGGCTGCTCCAGCTTCGTCGGTAAGGGCCAGGAGGGAGGTTATACCGTGTGGTTCTCGAAGGGTTACTGGAAGGGTTCTGCAAG